AAATTCAATTTACATATAATACGATCCAAACTGAAATTAAATTAGCATATAACAAATATTTCCATGGTAGAAAAAAAAAACATCTAAACATTTTGACTCACATGAAGACACAAAAACACTATTTTGGTGCCATTGGCCAAGTCACTGACAAAATAACTAGGTTTTGAATTATATTAACTGTAAGTTTAGTTACTTCAAAAACACTTCATTGTTGAGAAATATAATGTAGCGATTTAGTATCCAAGCTATTTTTCATAATACATGTCCCAAGAAGTTTCTGTGCGCGCTGTGCAATTTCATGATGCATTTTTATTGGCTGGTCAGTAAACGTGGGTCATAGCAGCAAGCACACTATGCGATGATCATGCTGAATTTCTGACACTATCAAGAAAATTATCGTAGGCTATCTTTGGTCACAAGACTGACAACGGCTGTCTTTGAACCACTCTCACTGTATGACACAGGACCACCGATTAGGAGCCACGATCACAGAAATCGCCACGATTGTTTTACAATGTCAATCTTTTGTCTAGGACAGCCGAAAATCGTGCAGTGTGTCTTGGGCTTAAGACTCCCAGGATAAAAGAAAAACACTTCTTATACACAACATCATTACACTGTAACAGACTCAGACATACAACTGATATGTATCTCAACTCACAACACCCCCATTTAGAAAATGGTACAATCGTTCACAAATACCAAAAAGTTCTGGCTACACATGCTACCGAAGCCCTCTTTGCACAAAATGGAGCTAATCAGTTAAATTGACTACACATTCAAGACAACTACATATCAGAAATAAATCTTAGAAATGAAGTTTTTTTGTAGCACACATCGTCTCTTTATCGTTATAGCCTCTACAATGAATACTAGTCACTGAAACAAAGCAACACTCACATTATGCTGACATTATCTATCTTAAATTGTGTTCCAAAGATGAATGAAGGTCTTGCGGGTTTCGAACAACACGAGGTTGAGTAATTAATGACAGAATTTTCATTTTTGGGTGAACTAACCCTTTAAGTTGGTCCTTCTTTCAGAGTTACTTCCTCTAGACAAGGGATAAACAGCTTAACCCCTCCCCTCAGCATTTACTACACAGAACCGTAGTTCACTGACAAGCTACGCAAAAAAAAAAAACGCAAACGATATAATTGCGCAATTATGAATTCAAAGAAATCGTTCTGCGATGATGAAAGCTGTTTGCATAGCTTGTCAGTGAACTACGGAAATACCACATTTAATACCATGTTTTTACTCCAAACTCACTTCATAACGTCAGTCAAGTGTTTGAAATAAATCTTCTTCTGTGAGATGATGTGGTTTGTTACACAGAATAAGGCACGCAACATATTTCATAGTATAATCCTGGATTTCTTCTGCGGGGCGTATTCTGAGTTTCTGCGCGAGAGCGCCCTCTGGCCTTCAGATGGAGATTTAATACTGATCACAGAACCGTGCTTCACTGACAGCTTTTGCCTAATCGAGATTGTGATTTCATTGTGATTTATCCTACTTCTTGCTGTTAGGCACCTTTGGGAGTGCTGGGAATTTGAGACCTTGGCAAATGGCTGCTGACTCAAGTGTAATTAGAACATAGACTATACTCTCCTCCCTCCCAAGGGTCCTCTGCTCCTCAGGGGCACTTGCATGTGCATATCCAGTCAACAGTTCAAATTAAGTTGGTCACACAATTTTTTAACCAACTTATTAAGTCAACTTTTTTTAGTTTTATTGTTCAGTTACCTAATAGATAATAGCTATTCAAACTTTTTGCAAGTTGGATTTTTTATAGTGTATAGTCAGCAGGGTGCAAGCACTTATCTCCTGAGGTAGGATTTATCACCCCACCCAAGCAAGCTGAACTGGAAGTTTTGGAAATCAGAACAGTTTGTTAAAGGGGTCATATGATGCGATTTCAATTTTTCCTTTCTCTTTGAAGTGTTACAAGCTCTTGGTGCATAAAGAAGATCTGTAAAGTTGCAAAGACTAAAGTCTCAAATCCAAAGAGAGATTCTTTATAAAAGTTAAG